CCAATAGCTTTGGTGAATTGAAGATCTTGAAGTGAAACCTTGGATTCTTCTTCCTTAGCTTTAGAGAGAATTTTAGGGATGAACTTGGAGGGAAATTTATGATTTAGGAGAATGATTTAGAATGGGTAGTTTTAGGACTTAATCACTTATATAGAGCTTAGAATAGGGGTTAAAACGACATGGCTTAGGTATCAAACACATAAGGAAAGGCTAAAATAGACATGACTTAAAAGGCTGATGGGGTGACTTATATGAAAGCTTTCACATACTGTTTAGGGCTTGATGGTCCGTGAAGTCAACCGTACAAATGGGTTAGCTTCAGGGTTGCCTTAAACGACCAACTATTTTTCCCTAAACGGCTAGTGAACCCCTAAATGGACCGTTTAGCCAATCGTGGAGGGTCCATGGTTGGTTTTAGGCCTGTGGACCTACTCATTCAAGCCATAGTACCTTTCCCAAATTCCAAGGCGTTACATCATTAAATCTTGAATCAAGGTTAAGTGAGAAAACCTTTCACAAACCATGATTCCTTAAGTTGTGAGAAAACCTTTTACAATTCCATTGATGCTTATCTAAAGCAACTTAGATCATAAAACCTTTATTTTCATAAATCATGTATGTCTTTCATGAAAACATCAATCATAGATTCAAGTTCCTTCATAAATTCACGTAAATTAGGGTTCATAGTTAAAATATTGAACAATATATGGGTTCACGTTGAATTAGTTGAAAGAATGTAATTGAGTCTAAATCATCAAAATAATATCATAATCAATCAATTGAATCCATAAAAGTAGAATCCATGAGGAATTGAATGAAAACCTAACCAATTGAATTGAATTTGAATTGGTGAGTAGAAGAATCTTTAGGGACAAAATGGGTGAATGGAACACATTGATGAACTCGCTACATACCTTGATTGAAGCCCTGAACAATGATGAAGAGAGGAGAATTGAACTTGAAAAACCCTAGTTTCTTATTCCGTGATCAAGAGAGAGGATTTTTGGGGAAAACTTTTGAGAGAATTTAGGATTTTGAGGGAATGAAAGAGTTGGGGAAATTCTAAAGGTGAAGGGTAGTTATAGGGTTTAGATTTATGGTCAAAATGATGTAGTATAGGTATTAAATGCATCGGAAAAGACCCAAATACTCTTTACTTAAAATTGTTGGAGGGACCTACGGTCCATAGGAATTTCTACGGTCCGTCTTGGTCACCCATAGAACCAACTTCAAAAACCCATATATTCAATCATTTCCCATGATATCATTCTACAATCCATGAAAATTCTTACGGTCATCTTACTGTAGAACTCAACTTTCACTTCAAAATTTCACTATGTTTGGAATCTTTCTACGGGACCTTCCTACGGTTCGTAAAACATTCAACGGGCTGTCTTGGTCAACCGTCCAATGAGTTACTGGGACTTGATTTTCCAAAAATCAACTTGGGTTATACGGTTCACTTTCTACGGCCCCTAGGACTTCCTATGGTTCGTAGGTCGGACTCGTAGACCACCGCTTCAGTCAATTTTCTGTATTATTTTGCTTTAGACTTTCCAACTTTCGAGGTGTTCCATGTTTCCTCCCCTGGATTAAAAAAGGGGACCCGTGTCAGTGTACGTATTGGATAGGACCAATGCTTATGGGTGATATAAAATTGTGGCTTTGTCAATAAGTTGACGTAATCTTCCAATAATATGTCCCTAATAAGAATATACATGTTGCTCAAAAGCCCTATATTTACCTCCCTTTTGAGCTCATATTATTTTAGAATTAATCTCCTTAGATCCTGCATCTCAGGTCACCCATACAAAAAAATTCCAATTACGGCATACGGGAGATCCTCATTATAATCATTTGCTTAACTTTCTCTTATTACCATACAATATGTGGTTCACCATGAAGGTATGTAATTTGCTTCAAAGGTATAGGTTAGGTAAGTGCCATCGAAGGTTTTATGGTGTTGGCATAAGTAGATTCCATAGGTTTTTTATAACAATATTGTTAGTTTACCTAATCTCCAAAGGTGGAGGCTGGCCAACGACCGTCGTGGCCATAGTTTTCTGGTGATCTAGGAAAAATTAGGTTTTTAGCGGCTACGATGTTGAGAGCATTTTTAACCGATCAATATTAAAATATTTATATAATTTAGTTTAGAGTCTTTACACAAATTAACTTAATAATCTAACGAGAATATTGCTCCCTCCATCCTAATTTATGCCACACTCTTTTTTATATGTGCTACATAAAGAATGTAAATTTACTATAATTATTTATAGATTAACTTTTTAAAAATTACTTTATTTTAATAAAATAATTTATAACTACAAAAGGTCAGATTTATTTTAAACCGCAATCTCAAACGCCTTTTTTCCTTAAATTTTGTGCTAAATCAAATAGGATCATGTAAAAAAGAAAAGAAAAAAGGAAGTACTCCCTGTGTCCCTATTTACTTGTCCACTTTAGAAATGACACACCTATTAAGACAACAATGATTAGCATAGTGAAGTTACAATTTTACCCTTATTAATTATGATTCCAAAATCAATTTACTCATTAAAGCCATTATCCAAATTTCAAAGATGAAATAGCTAATCAATGTTATGGGAAGTTCATCAGTTTATTTATTTATGATAACTTTCACATTTTAGTGGGTTCACTGCGTAAGACCCACAAATGACAGAGAAGGTTAGCACTTCAGTTTAAGTAAAAAAAATTACAGCCACTTCTTTGAATTCAAGTGAAAAAAATTGGAGGGAAACAACATACGCTTTTACAATTTTTTGTAACATTTAAAAATTTCCCACCAAAATATTTTGTTGTAAAAAAATGCTTCAATGAAATGAGAAATCAAACAACCAAAGGATACAGGACAAAATAAATCAAGTTTAATGAATGGAATAGATTTAAATATTTCTGTTGAGGGGGATGATTCTTCAAGTTTATTTCTATCCATTTTTTAGAGTAAAAAATTGTGCAAAATTTTTACTCATAAACTACCGAAATGCTCTTTTGAGTAACTTAAAGGATTTTCACTCCCTAAGTATAATAAATATTCTCTTGTTTCAAACAGGATGAATTAAAACTTAAAAAATTTCAAGAAGTTTAAATGAGGGTATAATATAAAGTTTTTTTTTGTCCTTTCTTGATTTGTCAAAATGGACAAGTAAATAAGGACAGTTAAAACAAGAAATATGAACAAGTAAATAGGGATAGAGAGAGAGTACTAGATAACAATTCAAGAACATATATGTAAAGTAAAAAAAAAATGTGGCTTCAAAATTGTCTCAAGATTACGGTCCCTAAGAGGTTACCACACTGTAAACCAATTACAAAGGCCTAAGTGGCAATGTCCTTGAGAAATGAATGAGGGCAAAAATAGGAGAATGCAGCCACATGTAGGGTGTGTTTGGTACGAAGGAAAATGTTTTCCATGGAAAATGTTTTCCTAGAAAATGTTTTCCTGGAAAACAAGTTGATTTTTGACTTATTTTCTCATGTTTGGTTGGTAAGTAGAAAATATTTTTCGGAAAAGATTTTTAGTGTTTGATTTATGAATGATTTTTTTTTTGAGAAATATCTTTTATTTTTACTAGGGTAGAAAATAATTTTTGAAATTGAAAATATTTTTTAAAAAACAAACTTAAATTTTTTTGAGGGTGGGGTGGTACGGGGTGGGTTGAGGGTAGGGGTGAAAAATTGAATTTTTGAAGTTGAAAATATTTTTTAAAAACAAACTTAATTTTTTTTGGGGGGGTTGGGGGCTGGTAGGGGGTGGGTGGGGTGAGGGGCTGGTAGGGGGGTGGAGGGGTCGAGGGTAGGGGTGAAAAAATGAAATTTTGAAATTGAAAATATTTTTTAAAAACAAACTTAAATTATTTTTTTGTGAGTAGGGGGTGGGTGAGTTGGGGGGAGGGGGGATCGAGTGTAGGGGTGAAAAAAATAAAATTTTGAAGTAGAAAATATTTTTTAAAAACAAACTCAATTTTTTTTTTGGGGGTTGGGGGGGGGGGGGGGGAGGCCGGGGAGGGGGCGAGGGATGATCGAGGATCGGGATGAAAAAATAAAAAATTTAAGTTGAAAATATATTTTAAAAACAATAAAATAATTGATAGAGGGGGGGGGGGGGCGAGGGTAGTGGGTGGGAGTAAAAAATAAAAAATTGAAATTAGAAATATCTTTTAAAAATAATTTTTAATATTTTTTGGGAGGGGGTGGGGGTAGGGGTAGGGGTGAGGGTGGGTAAAAAAAATTGAATTAAAAACAAGCTTTAAATTATTATTTTTGGGGGGGTTGGTTGGGGGGCTGGTTTGAGGGTAGGGACAAAATAAATTGATTTTTTCAATAAATTTTTTTTCAATTGAAAGTTGGAAGAGAGTTTTGGAAAATGTTTTCCTTAAGTTTTGAAGGGAAGTCATTTTCCTTAAATTTGAGGAAAATGAGTAGATTTGGAAAACATTTTCCAAAACATTTAACCCAACCAAACATGAGAAAATTGGAAAACATTTTCCGAAAAATGTTTTCCTTCATACCAAACACACCCGTAGTAGCTTTACAACATGGAAATCTCGTTACTACCCATGTGAGGACGATCTAATTTTGTCATTCCCACTAATATTATAATAGAAATAATGATAATATAATTTCAACTTAATTCAATCATCAAAGATTCAAGTTCAGCAGAATGTGGAATTTTGAATGTCTTATCTCAGTAGGCAAAACTAATCTTGACAGTATTCGATTGTGTGAAAAGTAATTTGAAAGGTATTAAGATACATGATCCTGCCAGGCATTTATTTATTCTTTTTACTGGTCAATTGTAGTAAAATATTATAACAATGACTTGAAAACGCAGGATGAACCAACAGAAACCTCTAATCAACAACACAAGTGGACCACAAACTTTTCATGCTCTGTTTCCCTTGCAAGATACTTATGTAAGAAATACAATGTCTTAACAAGGACAGTTTTGTTCAAACTAAATATCCTTAATCCATCTCTCAGGAAATGATCTGAAAATACCATTGATTCAGCAAAAACTACACAAAGGACATACACTAGCAATAAAAGTTGCAGGAACACATACTGCCGTCAAAAAAGAGTTCAGGCCAGCGACAACTGTTCTAATAATCCTACTGGTATCCCTACAAGTTAAACTGACGACAAAATCCACGAGTCTGCCCCAATTAAATCTTCACTGAGCAAGCAAAGCAGAAGAAAGAATCAGTCATGTCTACGATTTTCTAGTCATGGAGATATTCACACCCCTGGGAGATCTTCGAACCTTAGATGATTCTCCATCAGTAGCACCTGTTCCTTTCAATTCCACTAACTTCTTAGGTGTTGTCACATTCTCCAGTTCAGATTTTGGATTTCTGCTGTCTTTATTCAGTTTTTCAGGGTACCAAATGTCATCTGGATTAAGAGGTAAAGAAGCAGGATCAAGTTCAAATGATCCCACAGGTACACCCTCTTTTTCAGTTCCAGTCATTCTGAATGATGGGATTTGATGAGAGAACTTGTAAAGTTCATTTGGCATTACCAAAAATGAGCCATCTTTAGTGTGGCTGGTGGGTTGGAAAAGGCTTACAAATCCACTCACCTTATCCAGGTAATTTACTTTTATACCGACATCCTTAACAAAATCAGAAAGTACCTCCACAATCTCATACTTATACTTACTATGTTTTTCTGGGTCGGAGCTCCAACTGATATCCCAATATTTAAAGAGAGCCCATGTCTCCCCTTTCCTAGGATATACAATGAATGCACCTCTCTTACCCTTTTTGGACTGCACTAGATGAGAGAATGTAAGACGATCATTAGTGATTTGAGAACTCCCACGTTTAAATTTCCCACAACCAGCAGGCAACTCTGCCTCTACCCACTCCATGTCTCCTTGGTCCTCTGGATTAGCCTCAAGCCAAGTGAACCGTAGCTCAAATTCAGGAGACGAAACTCTCCTAATCTGACAATAGAATCTTGGCATTCCATCAGCTGTATCATAACAAGCCCAGATTTGGTCAACAGCAAAGCAACTTTCTTCCCTATGCTTATCAAAATCACTAAACTCCGGATCAGGACAATCATATATCTCTGGAGGATTATCAGAAAGTTCACTATCTGGTTCTGAATCAGAATCAACAACTTCAACTTTTTCCACCTCACTTGATGGAGGTCCAGAAGCCTGTTTGTCAAATTTCCTATTGTTGGTGTTTTCATTTTGCACTTTCGCTTTAGGAGAGGCTACTCCATTTTGAGTAGCCTTTGCCTTGGAATTACCATTAAAATCAGTTGGTTTGGCATTCCTAGAGTCATCACCACTCATGGCTTCTTTCTGTTTTGATGTATCATCTTCAGCTGATTGGCTAGCCCGTACCTTCTTCAGAGGGTTTGCCAAATCATTCTCGTCATCACTTGCACCTTCATTATAGGATACATGCTGCCGTAGGCGAGAAGATCTCCTAGGGCCGAAACCATCAAATTCAAAATCTTCTCCAGCCGGTGGATAGCTACCAGATTCGATGTCCACAGTTTCAGGCTCAGTGCTGGTTGAAGTATCAATGCTCTCACTTGATTCAACTGTCTGCTTCCTACTCCTTTTCCTATTAATTTTATTAACCTTCGGCGTAGCAGCCCCTTCATTTGTATCGCCCATTTCCTTGTCATACTTTTCAGCTTTCCCTTTAGCCTTTAAATCCTCAAATAACTGAGCAGTCTTTTCTCTCCGTACCTCTGGTTGTGAACCCATTGTTTTACTGCTGGGACCCTGTTGAGATCCCATTTGGGCAGGTGTAAACCCAGCTCCGGCTGCCATTCTTGAGGTTCCCTGGTTGAAAGCCTCTTTCTGCTGATAAGGTTGGCTCGTGTTTGACTTAAGGGGCACATCCTGACTGCCAGGTTGACTCCATTTATGTCCAGGAGGAGCACCTTGAGAACCTAAATCATATGCAATGAAAGGCTTTGAGCATTTTTGGCAGCGTAAAGCTCTGTTCACAAAACTCCTGTAGTACTGGTACCTAATATTGCAAAAAGGACATCCCGTCCAGAATGTTTCAGGCATTGCTGATGAAGTTGGTTGTGTTTTCTGAATATTATTCAGATTACTGGACTGAGTACCAATACCATTTGGAATATTATTTTGTCTAGCTGAAGGATTTCGATTAACCTGTCGCTTTGCTACTGCACCTTTGGAAAAAAACCTGTACTTACTATCAAACAAAGTCCTTTTTGTCGGGTCCGAAAGCACCATATTTGATTCCCCAATCAACTTGAAAGCTGCCTCTGCACCTGGAAACTTGTTCTTGTCAGGATGAAGCACAAGTGCAAGTCTCCGGTATTGTTTCTTGATGGTCACTTCATCAGCCGACATATCAATTTGGAGGATCCGATACCAATCCTTTTCTGATCCCACTGTACTGCTCTGAGCAGAACAGTGGACATTACAGACAGCAAGTAGCTGCGATATATTCTCTAGCTGAGGGTAAAGCCGTTCAGCTTTCTGTGCCACCTTTTGAGCCCCTAAAAAGTCATTACTCTGCATTTTCTTCTCAGCCAGCTCTTTAGCCCTTAAGGCTTCATCCTTGTTGCACTCCATCACAATCCCAATAAAGATATTAATCAGTAAGATGCAGTAGACATTCATACACAAGTCTCCAACATATATTTTTCATGCTCAATGCCGCATTCCTGTCCCAACAAAAAGGAATATATCTGTCAATTCTTGCGTAAAAGCAAGAAAGATCAAATATTGCTTTTACTAATTACTAGTCATGTAGTAACCATTCTAGAGCTATCATGCACACCTAAAAGAAAAGAGAGAGAGGAACTTCACCTTCAGTTACAACTTATGAGCAGCTAAGCAATAAATTGATGACAACACAATCAAGAAAGATAAGATGCTTATACAAAGATAGTGAATCCTGCACCCAAAAATAGATGATTGTCATTCTGTGCCCAATAAAGAAAAACAAATAAAAGAGAGAATGCAAATGAAATAATACAGTTAAGAATTATTTCAATCGATTCCACGAAGTCATAGGCACACAATGCCTGATTCCCGAAATAGAGGATCTCTTAAAAGTTACAATAAAGAGCAATCACGACAAGACAAGTGGAGATGAAGCACACTGGAAATCATACAAGAACAATCTAACTTCCAATATATGGTAAAGTCAATATACAAGTATCATGCATAGACCCAAGATATCAAACATCGGAGACTTGAGACAGCAAACAAAGAGAGTTCATGGGGCATGGAGCTAAGAGCTAAGTATCAAACTGTAATCTAACTCCTTTGTCATCTATTTCTATGGGTGTTGCTTAGCAGTCTAAAACTTACTTTCACCTTTATAATCAACATAATCAACTATTCCGAATGTTTCTAATATTACTTGTAGACCAAAAAGATTTGATTTTCTTAAAGGTTACATACTGCCTAAAGTTATATCTGTTTTGCTTGATTAACCAACTTTTCCCAATGAAAAGAGATCATTAATCCACATATATTAGCTCGTAAGCATCGTGCAAAACTAGAACTATTATCACTAAAATCACCAAGAATATAAAATTTGCATTAATTATATTTTGCTATCACACAAGTTCTCAAGCTGATATCATACATGAAAAGTTAACTTTGAAATATATAAAACAAAGAAACCCACATTTTACCGAAACGTGAACAAAGTTAAGCATGAACATAAGTATGGGATACTGAGATAACAATCTTAACATGCAGATGAAATCAGAATGTGTACATCAACATACACTAAACCCTAGCATATTGCTGACAGGCAGATAAAAAAAAACTAGCATTGATTGATGCAAAAGCCCTACATACTCAAAACTCGAATCCAAAAACTTCAAATTTCAAACTCCATAGAAATCAAAAAGCACAATAAGGTTTAAGAAAAAGATGAAAAACAAAAGTATCCATAAATGTGCATACCTAAATGAAAAAGGACCTCCAAAGTTTTGACTATGGAAAGAGATTAATCCTTATACTACTAATAACTAAAGGACGAATTTGAGAGAGAGCAAATAGTAAAAGGAGGGAAGAGAATCGCGGGAATTGGAAAGAGAGTGAAAATTTCAGGAAGCCGGGAGATACCCAAAATTCTTCTGAAATTTCATTCCCCCCTGAAATCTAACTTTGTTTATCATCCTTGTGCTATTTCCCCAAAACATTGGGGAACAATCTAGAGAGTAGGTTTTTCTAGGGGTTGAAGGTTAAAATGGGCTGGGCTGGGCCCATATTTAAACTTCACTTTGGCCCATTCATCATTTTGAGCTTTAATATAGTTGAGTATAACCCAAGAGTTTTTGGATTAACTTTTTTTAAGTGGAATATTAGATAAATTTCATAATGTTAAGAACTAATTAAATAGTATATCTATTCTTTTCAAATAATAAAAATTCTTTAAATTTGGTGAAATTCGAATACATCTCAAAAGTCTCGATACATTTCGTTTCGGTTTCGAATTCATCATCCATCACTCTGATACAATCGCGTCTCGATGTTGAATACACCACTCAACATCTCGATATATTATTTCGATACACCGCGTAAAGTGATGTATTCGAGAATATGAGAGAGCATGAATTTTTGTAATTTTTCAAATTGCAAGAAATTTTAGAGAATATGCTAAAATAAGTTATGTATTGTGACAACCCACCCATTTGGATGTTGAAATTAACTCATACTTTTGGTATAAGACTAAGAATACATAACATACATGAAAAGATGTTATATGAGTTATTTTAGTTGCACAAAGTTCATATGTTAAAGTCAAGGAAGTTGTGAAATAAAATTCGGCAAAAGTAATTGTAAATGATGTTAAAGAATTCTCTGTAATATACGATCAGATTGCTCAACCATTTTCTCCTAATATATAAGGAGTTAGAATTCTCATGACCTATCAAAATCGAAGGTCTACGAATCTAGTTTCCAATGCAGTAAATCATTCGTCGATACAATTTAAGAGTTGAGAGATATGCATGTTTTCGTGAGACTGCACAAGTAAGCACCTCAAAGTAGGTCCCCTTAACTCTAAGTCGGTGGTCTTTATAAAACACCACCATCTTCGTCTTTTATCCATTATAAATAGCTGAAAACTAGAAAATTGACAAACCCACCTTCCAATAATCCATAGATGTTTAGATTCTCAACTCGGATGTTTAACAGAAGTTGTTCTACGTCACGAGCTCATCGTTGTGGTATAATTTTATTGTTGATTTAGACTCTGTTTGTTATTGCTGCAAAGAGGCAGAATCTTAAGCTTATTATTTCAGATATTTTGGTTGAGGTAATCTTCTTTTTACAACCCTCCTTCGTAATTCCATGTGCTAGTATCATTTTTAGAGATTTTTTAGCTAAGTGGTGGTGATTTTGAAATTGTGGTTGTGGGCAGCCCCTTTGTATTATTTATTTTGGCTATTATTGTTGTATATTAATGGTTTTAAGCTGATGGAGGTAATGAGTGGTTGGTGTGATTATTATTAGAGTCACGTATGATGGTTGTTGGATTGAATGGTGTGAAGTACGCCTAGTTATGTCGCCTCTGGACCTTGTCGCTCTTTCGAGATATTATTGGAATATCTTCAATGGATTTCGCTGCTGATTATCGTTGTTTTTGGCCTCACTTTATAGTTTGGACTTGGCTGGTCATGAGTGTGGCATTAGCGCCTTATTATTTACTTATGGATTGTTCTTACATCCTTGTTGATTTTGACTTTGTTGCATTACTTTGGTTGGTCAAACATCATAGTGACATCTTTTGGGATTTCGTTGAAAGGTATGTTGAGGTTATTATGTCTCTTCTGGCATGATCTTAATGACCTAAGATATTTTATGGTCGGTGTATTATCATTATTTGACTTGTAGCTTTATCCTATTGAGTTGGCTACAACCATATGATGTAATGCCTATCGACAACACTCTACTCCTTGCTGAGTGGCCTAGAAAAACCTTATTATGATTGTGTTTTGATTAATCATGATTACTAATCATTGTTGTGATGTTTTATAGTCTATCTGTCGCCTATGATCTTGTTTTGGCCTTAGGAGACACTGACATTGCAAGGGTCTTAAGCATACAAAATGATTCTTATACCGAGTCTTCGAGCCGGGTAGACCAAGCCTTTGGGCTGGGTAGATCGAGCCTTCGAGCCGGGTAGACTGAGCCTACGGGCCGGGTAGATCGTGCCTATAGGTCGAGTAGGTTGTACCTACAGGCAACATATATGTATTGTACCACAAAGCCTCAAATTTGCATTGATTCATGGAACAAGTACATTTAGACGGTTCAGATCGGATTGCCATCGGGATCCAGTTAAGGGGCTAATATGGGTATTTAGCGATTGCTTGCTCTCGTTATGACTATAAGGATTGTGTGTTGTTTGTACCTACCGGCTTATGGAGGCCAGGTCAGGTTATTGCTTGTTATATGCTTACATTTTATTGTTATAGGGAGATACGGCATTATACTTGTCTTTCACTCCTGCCTTTTTTCGTTCCATACTTTTACTTCAGTTTCAACTTTCAGTTTACCTTACATGCTCGGTACAATATTTTGTACTAACACCCCTTGGCTGGGGACCTGCATTCATGCTTGTAAGTCCTAGAGTTTTGCATGTTTTGCTTTTTAAAGATTTTGGGGTAGGCCGGTGATGTTCGACGTAATCAACTGACACTATTTCGGTTCAAGTGCCAAACTATCACGTGTAGTGATATAACCCAACCAAGGGTTGGGATCATTCCCACAGGGAATGGTTTTGAGAATTAATAGAAAAATAAAATTTAGTTCTAATTAGTCATAGCTATAAACATTATCGAATATAAACATACTAAATTTAAGGGGTGACGCAAGCGTCAATTATCAATGGGGTTTGTATTAATAACAACTAAAAAGAGCAAAAATATAAGGAAACTAGATATGGAGACGGGATTCTTGGATGTGATAAGAATACGGGATAAACTAGACTATCGGGTACATGATTTTGATAGTAAATTGTTGAACATTTGTGATACGCTAGACTATAGTGGGGTAAATTCTCTCTTGAGCAACTTACCCCGAATCAACTCAATTCTCTCGAACACCGAGTTGCCGCATTAAGCACAGCCTCCGCCTTAGCCATTCACTCTCTCGAGCTGAATGTGTGGGAGAAGACTAGGGTTCACTCTCTCGAGCTGAACCCATGTCATCAATACCACCGCTGTCAATTAGTAGTCTTAGTTTTACGACCTCTCTCTCGAGCAAGCCAAAAACACTAAGATGAAATCATATTTGCAACTACAATCCCATTAAGTTCATACACAACTACTAAACAAATCACATTTAAACAACAAATAAACTATCAACAAGCAAGACCCAACAGATAATTTAACCCATATTCACAAATCACACCCAAGAATTGGGGTTTTAGCTAGACATGTAAAAGAGATAAAAATTTATACCAATATCAGTTTCCATTAACTGGTATGAAGAATTAAGTCTTAAAACACGTCAAGAGTGAAGAATCTTCGAGACCCACGTCCAATTTCTTGGAGTTGAAACCCTTTAATCTTCAAGGTCTTAGAACAAAGTCTCCAAAACCCTCTAAAACTTAAACTCCCAAAAACTGTAAAAAGTTTGAATAATAGAAGTGATACTAACTAGAAATTAAAAACAAGTATTTATAGTGTTTGAAAATTTGTGTGCGGAGGACCATTCGTGCAGTTAGTCGGGATCACCGATACGCTCGGCGATCCGCCTTTTGGTCGATTTCATCGCCTTCCTGCTTTGCCTTCAGCATTCTCGCATTTTGAGGATTGGGTGATAGAAGTACTACTTCGCGAAAACTGCTCGGCGACCGCCGACTGCTCTTTTCATCACGGAATGACCTTTTCTTTAGGGCTCAGCACACTAGAACAAAAGGAATCTCCAGGCCGATCGGTGAC